TACAAGTGTCACGACTGCAGCAAAACGCTCGATTCGATCATCGCCTGCGACGGGCCCGACAAAGACGTCTACTGTAAGACCTGCTACGGAAAGAAATGGGGACCGCACGGATACGGATTCGCATGTGGTTCGGGATTCTTACAAACCGATGGTCTAACGTGAGTAGATCCTCTTCTCCCCTCCGTGCAAGCTGCGACATTCTTCCAGGAAAAACTAATTCTTCAAAGATATGTGAATTCGAGTTTCTTGGTCCATTATATCTCTGAAGAAGCCTCGTTTGAGCTCGTTATAGAAAGTAATTTCGTTTTTCTTCACGACAATGCATGAAAACACGATCACGAACAATCGAATTCGACAAATATTCATTTCGATCGATGTCTTTATTTTATCTTTGTCAACTTCGATTTCAATTTTTACACTGGCACACCGTTGATACACTTTCTTTTTCATAGATTTCGCGTAACTTTTTTCTTGTCTGAACAGCATTCTTACCTTTTCGGTAATAAAAAAATGAAATATGCCGAAAATCTTTTAATCTCGCATCTTTATCACGCGCGAAAAATATAATTGCGGAATCGAACGAATTTTTCTTATAGATAAACTGTGTGAAATGCCGACTCTCGAATAATAACAACGGTTTAGAGTGAAGTTGGCTGGATAAACAGTGTGCAACAGTAGCGACACTCGTGTGAAAAAACGGAATTACTTTCGGTACAACCCAATACATTATTTCCAATCGTTTCTTCTATAATTATATATTCATTGATAAACTTTAAAAAACTAACTCCTCGAGAATCGAAATAACAATTCGACGGATCTTTCCTTAATTATTTGAGGAAGCTATCATTTGAAATTTTTCGAATTGATTTTTGAAAGAAAAAAATTATTTCAGGGAGGAAGAGATTTCGGCTAATCGACCATATTACAATCCCGATACGACGGCAATCAAGGCGCCAGCCGGTCAAGGTTGCCCTCGTTGCGGTGGCATGGTATTCGCCGCCGAACAACAGCTTGCCAAGGGGACTATGTGGCACAAGAAATGCTTCAACTGCGCCGAGTGCCATCGACCTCTCGACTCTATGCTGGCCTGCGATGGACCCGACAAGGAGATTCACTGCCGATCGTGCTACAGCAAGCTTTTCGGACCCAAAGGATTCGGGTTCGGACACACCCCCACCCTCGTTTCAACCGATGGGGATCACGCTCCCTCCTAGTAAGTTTTTATCATACCTTATTAGCTCCCACTTTTCCATTTCGTGTTTTGAATTCTTACGATTCTCCAGACGAGAATCCAGACATTTTGATTTGAAATTAAATTTCGAAATTGAAATCTCGCCGAGTATCGAACTCTCTTAGAATCTACTATAAGATTACGATTTTTATCTATCTTTCTTTTCCACGCAAAATTAAAAATTTCTCATCTTCCTTTCGCAAGATTATTATTTTCCTAGATTAATAATTTCGGTTTGGAGAATGAATTAAAAAGAAAAAGAAGCAGGCTTGTCAATCATGATAATTCAACTTCCCCTCTTCTATTTTCCACTCACATCGAATCGATTTTTTTCAGCATCGATGCAAAGCCTCAGGTCGGGCAGAAGCGGAGCGACGGGCACGGGTGCGCGCGTTGCGGCTACCCCGTGTACGCTGCCGAGCAGATGATCTCGAAGAATCGCGTGTGGCACAAGCGTTGCTTCAGCTGCGCCGAGTGCCACCGCTCGTTAGACTCGACGAATCTGAACGACGGCCCAGACGGAGACATTTATTGTCGCGGATGTTACAACCGGAATTTCGGGCCGAAGGGGGTGGGCTTCGGCATGGGCGCGGGCACCCTGACGATGGCCTAACTTGTTCAGAAATATATTCAACACCAGCTCGAACCAGTCTCATATATATATATACATATATATATATATATATAAATATAAATATACACATAAATATAATTATATCCAATATATATACGTGCGAATAAACGATCGCGGATAACAATATAATCACTCGCTCGCAACGCTTAATAAATTCATTGTGGATCTTCTCTATTGCGGATTCCTTCGTTTATTCGTATGTATAGAAATATGTATATGTATAGACGCCTGACTCCTCGAACTAACTTTTCGCGAAAAAGTTTCACGCTGCTCCGAAAACTTCGAAAACCAAAAAGAGAAAAGAAAAGAAAAGAAAAGAAAAGGAAGAAAAGAAGCAAAGAGAAAAAAAGAAAAAAAAAAAAAGTCAAACAATTTCTTTCTTTCGTTTCAACGA